ATGTCATTTCCGAAAAATAGAAGCGTAAGTGTTTCAAAAGGTTTAATGGCGGTGGCAGATGTGAAGTTAAATTCACCAACTCAAACAAACAGTCAAAGTGTTGTTGTCAATGTCAAAGAAAGAGAAGTTGAAGTGGGAAACCATACGAAGACGAAGATGGTATAAACAATAGTTCCTGTAAAAGAACCAACATACCCTGAAGTTAGCAGAGACTTAAGTTCTGTTGCAGATATTCGAAACGACTACCAACAACTGAAAGACAAACTTCAAACTCAGGAGAAGATTTGTCAAGCTTTAAGTATAATGTTAAACTTGGTCGAACACAACCCTGTAAAAGTGAACTCATATGTCATTGCACCTCATGAAGTTTTGAAAGAACTATTGAAACTTTTGACAGAGGCAGACGATATAAACATCAAAGAAATAGAACCGACATTAGTTGCTGTGGTGTTTCATATAATGTCATTGACAAGATATACGTTATGAAAGGAGGTGAAACGTTGAACTTAAAGTATAGTTTCCCAGACGTCATAAAAATATTTGACGACCACAACATTTCATTAAAATTTATTTGCTAAGTAAATGGCAGAAGATATAATGGTTTATACTATTACGACTAAAAACCCTGAGTCATATAATTCTATAACAACAAACTTACAAAGTCCTCAAGGACGGTATTGTAAACTAACTTTAAACACAATGACGACTAAAGCCTGTTTTGCTCTTTTGACACCAGAAGACTTTGTTGTTGTGAATGGTAAAAAATACTTCTTTGAAGATACTTACTCAGATATACCACCAACAGGTTTTGTTGACTTATTTAATACTTTAAGGACGGATGTAACATGTGCTGCAACTAGAGCAGGTTTCATTATGTTTGGATGTCCGACTGAGTTTACTATAAACGATATGAGCTATAATACAAAACTTATTTCTGGTTTTTCTACCAACAGTTTCCTATAACAGGAAAAGGTGTCATACAAGGAATGTCTATTCCATGACATTAAGCACACCAATCTTATATATTGTTTCAAACTTAGGTTTCAAAGTGTTATTCGAATGTCGACAGAAACTATTATGACCAAAAGATACTTATGCGTATAAACAATACTTTCTCTGCTGGTTTGCCTATTGTTCATTCGAATGCAGAATTTTCAACCTTAGTGAACTCAAACACTTTGGCAAGTATAACGTTGACATTAGTTGACGCAAACTTTGTTCCTGTAAAACTTTTATGTCCTATGTATTTGTCAATGACGGCAGAAAGTTTCGAATTGGAAGATGCAACCGGTGAAAGTATTGTATTACAAGAACAACTTCAACAACAAATAGCTCAAGAACAACAAATGCAACAAATAGCTCAAGAATAAAAAAATATTTTTTTATTTTTATAAAAATGTACAGAATAGATGTTTCAGATTTTTATGACTTCCAAGCATTCAGAATATGTGTCCATTTAGAGACTATAACAAAGCAGTCGAGAATTTGAAACGTTTAGTCATTTATGTCGACTCTGCCCAGAATGTTATGTTATGAAAGAATGGGATGTAGTCTTTAACAAACCAAGAGCAACAAATAGTTTCAGAACAAGAATGTAGAACAGAAACTTAAGAAAATAAAAGTTGTACAAGTTGGCATGAAGATGTTAGATGCTTGGGATATCTTATTGTCAAAGTTAGAAGATTTTTCAGTTCGTGGTATAAAGTTTTATACACCTTCTCCAAACTTCTATTCTATCTTCACTGGATATAAATACGAACAAGTAGAATGGAAAGAAAATATTATAGAAGCTTGGTTAGACCATGTCAAAGAAATTATATGCAATGGAAACGAAAGAGTCTATGAGTATATCTTATGTTGGTTTGCAAACATCTTACAACATCCAAGTGCTAAAAATGAAAACTGCTCTCATTATATATTGGAAAAAAGGAACTGGTAAGAACACATTCTTTACAGATATCTTATGCAAACTGTTAGAAGGTTATTCGAATCCGAATATGACAAACTTAGAAAACATCTGGCGGTAAATTTAACTCTTCAATAGAGAATATGAAACTTATAGTATGTAACGATCTTCAAAGTATAGATACAACAAAAGTTTTGAACTCAGATGCTTTGAAGAGTCTTATAACAGACAAAGTTGGAGTTGTTGAAAGAAAGTATAAAGACCAAAGAGTTGTGAAAATGTTGCAAACTTCATTATGGTTTCAAACAATGCTGTTCCGATGAAGTTAGAAAGTTCTGACAGAAGATATGTAGTTGTCAGAACGTCAGATTCCATATGCAAGATACAGAATATTTTGACGACTTAGCAGAAACTTTGACATCTGACTTTTACAACCACTTGTTCTCATATTTCATGACATTAGATATTTCTAAGTTCAATCCAAGACAAATTCCACATACCGAAGAGAGACAAACATTGTTAGAAGCAAACAAGAGTGTATATGAACTGTTTATAGATGAGACTAACTTTGAGTGTTTAGATGAAAGGTCATTGTACGATGAATATAAACAATATTGTCAAGAAATATGGTTATATGACAGCTTCTAAACGAACATTCTTGGAAATGTCAAAAATCTTTTAGATGTTCAGAATGGCGTATATACAAAGAAAAATTTTTCTGAGTAAATTTAAAAAAAAAACATTTTTTATCCGATAGAAAAGATGGCAAAATTCATCTCAGTAAACAAGTACATGACAGAAGTCAAAGAAGAACTAGACCCATTCGCTTATTTGAATGTTTTAACTTCTACCATTTTGAAAAGTCTTCATTCAGCAAAGTTTGGAACATCGAACCAGTTAAGTTTGCTATTGTGACTAAAAATGGTGCGAAATTTGAAGACTTAGACATAGAAGGTTTGTTAGCAGTCAAAGAAAATTTTGACAGAAGGTTCTCAAACCTTAAAGAAGGCAAAGCATACAAACTTGTTATACCTTATGAACCAAAGAAAGCAGACGACTATGAATATTATGAGTCTAAGATAGTTGAAGTTCAAGGTAAATTGGGTAAAAAGATTTTAGAGTCTAAGCCAGTGTTTGCCCCTAAAGAGGAAGAGAACATTGACATTGACCCAGAAATGTTCTAAAAATAAAATTTTATTTTTACATGTCAAATTTCTTTTTCTCCTGGCTCTGGCTCTGGCTCTTTTCTTCTCTTCTTCTACTTTCTTTTCTTTCTTCTCTCTCTTCTCTTCTTCTCTGGTGGAGTTAATGTCAAATTTCTCAGAACCATATTTATGTAAAAGTTCTTTGTCCTTTAATAGCTCTTCTATTCTGTTTTCTATTTCATCTTCAAGAACAGCGCATGTGTCTTCTTTGCATTCTAAGAACTTTTGTTGGACTTCATCTTTCCAATCGGCGTCATCTCTGTCAACAAGTCTGTCATTGACAAACTTAAAGACTTCTCTGCCTAATGTTTTATGGTTCTTGTCATATTCCCAGAAACAGAACTTTAGAACAAATTCACACCTTTCTTGTTTACACTATGTAAGATTTTATGGTCGACAGATGTTTTGCTGTCGAAAAGTTTATCCCGAATATAGATAGCGAAATCGCTAGACATTTCCTAAAAGATAAAATTTTTAATTTTCTAAAAATATGTTAGAAAAAAAAGTTTGCTGACATTGACAAGAAATTTGAGAATGTTTTTAAATAAAACAAGAGGAAGTTAGAAATGCTCAGATAAAGCCTATACATGACAAGTTCTTATTTGCTCAGAATGGTATAACAGGTCTAATTGCACCACCACCTGGGTCGGGTAAGACTTTCACTTATCTTAAAATGGCTGCACAACAACAAGAACTAGATGAGAAGAACCCATTCTATGAGTTAGTTGTTATTTGTAGTACTTCTGGTCAATTTGACCAAACCGTCAATTCGTTCAAAGATATTATAAAAAGTCTAAGTTAGTATGTATAAAAGACTCTGAGTTTGTTAGATTGGATAAAGAAGTACCAAAGAAGAGTTTTGAGTACAATGCTATAAATGAGTATATAAATTCTAAGTTTAAAGACCCAAATGAGGAAAATGCAGAGAATATTAGAGAAGAAACACTTCAGAAACAAACAGAAAGAGATAGAATACATTTCGGAAAATTGCAATCTTACGATTGGAAGACTTACCCTCATAGATGTCTTCTTATCTTAGATGACTTTGCTTCTCATCCTTTGTTAAAGAAAGAGAACAAGACATGTGTCGAATTCTTAAGAAGCTCAGACACTTTAACATCTCAGTCGTAATATGTGTACAGACAGCCAAGTTTAAGTAAGGATGTAAAGAGAATACTTACTGACATTGTACTTTTCCCCGGATTGTCCGAAGACGATTTCATGGAACTTATGAAAGAGTCCATGGCAGGTAAGTTTGAAGACATGAACTATGGAGAAGTACAAGTCATACAAGACCCTCATACTTCTTTCAGAATTCATATCTACGCAAACAAAGTTCAAATTGTAAAAAGTCAAGCGTAAAAATGTAAGTGTTTTAGTCTTAGTCTGTTGTGGTGCTGGGGCTGTCGGTTCTTCTGGCTTTGGAAGGCATTCAGGAAGAGGAACGTCAGTCATCCGTTTGTGTCCTGTCGGAAGGAAGGACTCGGAATGTCGGAAGGAAGGACTCGGAATGTCGGAAGGAAGGACTCGGAATGTCGGAAGGAAGGACTCGGAATGTCGGAAGGAAAAACTCGGAATGTCGGAAGGAAAAACTTTTTCTGTCGGAAGGAAAAACTTTTTCTGAAGTTCGACCAAAAAGTTCTCAATTTTCGAAAATTTGAATGGTTTACGGACGAACAACAGGAAATTTTTTTCCAGTTGTCAGGAAATTTTTTTCCAGTTGTCGGGAAATTTTTTTCTTGTTGGAAGGAAGGACTCGGAATGTTGGAAGGAAGGACTTGGAATGTCGGATGGAAGGACTCGGAATGCCAGAAGGATTTGACAAGCCAATTTACCATCTAGAGCTACTTGAGCCATCTGAAGTCAAGCTTGAAAAATAAAGAGTTCATCTACCCTACTTGTTTGAAGTTGTCAAAATACTCTGTTATTTTTTCTTTCAGTAGCGGTAAGTCTTCTTTGAAGGTAAGTATTGTACAACCTTTAATATCATAGTGTGTTTGAGGTAACGTATCTTGAACTATTTGTTTCACATCTTCATTTGGTGTCATTGAAATCGGTAAGTTTTCGCGATAGAACCAATTTCTGTCAGATTTGTAAATCTTAGCAAGGTCGTAAAAGCTTTTGTTGTTTCTTCTGACTAAATGCAACATAACCATATCTCTGTCTTCTTCATTTTCCATCTCTTCAGTGTAAATCATATACTTATAGTTCTTTTCCTTTCCTTTTGGTACCGAACGTGGTATTCTTTTCTGAAGGCTTTTGTCTTTTGCTTCAATGACTTCATCTTTTGCTTGAAGTTTCTTTTCCATCTCTTCACGTTCTTGTCTATGAATTTCATCTAACATCATGAAAATATAACAAGCATAGCGAGGTGACGCCCACATTGCAACAGCATTTACAAGAAGTCTATGTACATACCAACCTCTCAAACCAGGAGCCAAATTCTTGCGATTTTCGTACGGAATCTCTACCCTCGGTTTTCCGAGGGTAGCAAACATATGAGGAAATTCTTCTAAAAGTTCTTTTGTCTGTTGGTTTTCAAACCAATGGTATGCTTGCTTTGTAGAACGAAGAGTATTCAAAATACTTTGCATTTGGTACATATCGTCTTTGACCGAACGAATGAGACGGAGTTGTTTGTTAAACTGAACCCACTCATATTCTTCATTTATAGCTTCATGAACGATAGCAGTTGTTGTGTTCTCTGTTGTTGACATATCTGTCTTTACATACAAAATAAAAAAATAAATAAAAATAAAACTAACTTTATTTTTGGAATTTTGTGAAAACTCAACGGTTTGACACATGCCATATGCCATTTTACTCAGAATTTCATACGGAATTCAATAAAAATAATGTTTATGTTAGAATGTTAGATCTAACATGTTTTCTAACATGTTTTCTAACATGGTCTAAAACATACAAAACTCATGAAATTTCATACGGAATTCAATAAAAATAATGTTTATGTTAGAATGTTAGATCTAACATGTTTTCTAACATGTTTTCTAACATGGTCTAAAACATACAAAACTCATGAAATTTCATACGGAATTCAATAAAAATAATGTTTATGTTAGAATGTTAGATCTAACATGTTTTCTAACATGTTTTCTAACATGGTCTAAAACATACAAAACTCATGAAATTTCATACGGAATTCAATAAAAATATATTTTAGGGTAGAAGGTTAGATCTAACCTGTTTTCTAACCTCATTTCTACCCCAGTTATTTTACAAGCGTTTTACATGGTATATGTTGCGATGGTTCATGACTCTAAACAATTTCGTAGCTTCTATTTCTTCTGTCAGTACATCGAATGTTTTAACAATGCCGAAGGTTTCTTTATATTTCTTCTTGACATCTGAAAGAAGGAAATCGTTAGCGGTTGGATAGTTTTTGTTCAGAAATTCTAACATGTTCATTTTATCTTCTGCTGGTTTTTCTGCTTCTTTCTTTAAATCTGCATAGTCGTTTCGCATACGTTCTATCTCTTTGACGGAGTAGTTATATTTCCTCATTGCTGCTTTACATTTTGAACATTGCGGGTTCATTTTAGCGTTATATTCTGAAACCTTACCTGCTAAAACAACTAAGGCGTCAATGGTTTTCTTCATCTCGAACATAGCGGGTTTTATTTGTTCGTTCCATACCTTACCCCTACTATCTTTATCTCTTATTTCCCAAACACATTTTGCAACTAACGAAACAAAGTTGTCGTAGGTCTTAAACTCCCCGGATTTGTAAAGGTCAGAGATGTTCTTATATACCATGTCGCAATCTTTGTCCATAACCTTATGGTTGCAATGAAAACCAAGGAATTCATAATTTACCTTTCGTATGAACTTCTTTATTTCTACTGAGTCAGTTGCTTTGACTTCTATTTCGTCAAATTCGGGAATGGTTAGTTTTTGTTGTTGGATTTCAGGCAATTTGGGTAAATGGTCAATAATGTCCTGCATTTCATAAAGATACTGTTCATTTGTTTCATCTTTCGCACTACAGTCTAAATTACTTGTTAAAAGTTCTTGCTTTATCTTCTGGATTTTTGTTTCGAAAGTATATGAAGAAGGAATGAAGCTTTTCATCTCTACTAACATTGAAGTTGGGTTCATGACTAACGAGTTTGGTGCTGTTGTTGCTAACATGTTCTTACAATAAAAATAAAAAATATTTTTTTAAAAAAACTAACTTTATTTTTTATTTCGGGAAAATTCATGAAAATTCAAGAGTTTTAGACCATGTTAGAAAACGTGTTAGAAAACATGTTAGATCTAACATTCTAACATAAACATTATTTTTGGTGTAAAATTCATGATTTTCGAGAGTTTTAGACCATGTTAGAAAAGAGGTTAGAAAACATGTTAGATCTAACATTCTAACATAAACATTATTTTTGTCGAAAAAAAATGGTTCATTTACTCACAATATTTTTGTACAAAACGACCCCAAACTTTTAACTTCTTTTCTGCAGCTTCTAATGAAATTTTAGCGAGTTCATATTCTCTAAATTCTCTCTTTAAATCTTCTTGTTCCCATTGGTCTAGTTCGTATGGAGAATCTCTATAACCAGAACATATCTCACGTTCATGTTCTATTTGTTTTTCATGCATTTTTCTAACTTCTTCTTCAAACAAAGGTTTTGCATTCTCTACTGTATCTTCAAGTTCTTCTTCATCTAACTTCTCATGAACTTTCTTGTCTATGGAGTCCATAATTTTTCCAACTGCTATGCATATTTTGGAGAAGCCCACATTGCTATATAGTTTACAAGTCTTGGGTCTACATACATTCCTCTAACCTGTTTGATTTCATCCGGAATTCCTGCATGAACTTTGTATAAAAAGCAACCCGCCGTTTTCCGCGGGTTGGTATATTCTTCACAAAATGCCTTAAAATACTCTTCCCAGGACTTATTTTCCAACAACCTTCTAAAGTCTTTCCTAAACTGCTGACACATCTTTGTTGCATTTATATAACCATCCTTGTCTCTACGTAAGACTTCAATACCGTTGTAAGTGCCTTTTGTGAATTTCGCCATTAGATTTGTTCGTGAACGTTTTTGCTTCGACTGACATTTCTGTTCTTACAATAAAAATAAAAAAATATTTTTTGGTGGGACGTCGGACATTCGTTTGTGGCTTAACCGTCGGACCACAACGATAAAAATCTCTGCTCCTAGCAGTACTGCTACTGACAGTAGCAGTACTTTTACTGACAGTAGCAGTACTTTTTCTGACAGTAGCAGTACTTTTACTGACAGTAGCAGTACTTTTACTGACAGTAGCAGTACTTTTACTGACAGTAGCAGTACTTTTACTGACAGTAGCAGTACTTTTACTGACAGTAGCAGTACTTTATCGTCGAAAACCCTCTCAAATTTTCCTTTTTACTGCTCGTAGCAGTACTTTTACTGACAGTAGCAGTACTTTTACTGACAGTAGCAGTACTTTTACTGACAGTAGCAGTACTTTTACTGACAGTAGCAGTACTTTTCTGACAGTAGCAGTACTTTTACTGACAGTAGCAATGGACAACATCGAGCCATTAGATGAGGCAATTTACCTAATTGAAATTAACGAGCTTGTTAAAGACTTCCTCAGGCAGAATGTAAAAGGCAAGCTTGTTAACTGTTGGATAACGGGAAGGGCTGCCTTGAATCTCGAGACTTCGACTGGAATTCCAATTCAAATACCAGACGGGACAGCCTACGATGGCATAAAGGACGCCAAAAGAGAAGCTCTTCTCAAGTTCTTTGCCAAGCGTCCTTGGATACTACTTCCAAACAGAGAGAGTCCAATTCCACGAATTATACAAATTCTCAGAGCACTGTTCCACTACTCTGGTCAACCATTCTACATAACCTGTGAAGGCGACATCCAACCAGTTCAGTAAACATCTCATTTTAACTTACTTTTTTTATGTTTTTTGTGAAAGTTTTAAAATAAATTGTTTTCATGAGTTTTCTACGATGTTAGAAAAGTGGTTAGAAAACGTGTTAGATCTAACATGCTAACATAAACTTTATTTTTCAATACTTTTTCAGCACTTTTCCGTAGTTGTATATGAAAGACAATTCGAGATAAAAGTCATAGTACAATGGAATAATATGTTGCACACCATTTGTTGTGAACCAAACTTGAAAGTCAGAGAAACTGTTACTAGGTGGTTCGTAGAATTTAGAAGCAAAGTCATAAAAGTCCTTACCAATACAAAGAAAACTGTTGTTGCTTGAACTGAAACTTGCATGACACATGACATTTTGAGGGTCGAACACGTTTCTATAAACTGTCAAATCTGTTGGTGGGCGTATAAATTTAAACGGACCGTCAGGTGGTAATGGTTCGTTCTGGTTTAGTAACCGAAGAAATTGTGCCCAAGAACGTTTGTCTACTTCCCAAAATAAAAACTCTGTACTTCTTGGAGGGTTAATTTCAATCTTTTGAAATGAAACGGTGGAATTCATCTTGTTGTATTCTAGTTTCAGATAGTATGTTCCATTTAGTAAAGAGTCGTATTTTTCTTGAAATTCCCAATAGTATTTGTTCATTTGAGTTTGAAAGTCATTTAGAGTCTTCTCAAGGTTTTCGTCTGAACGAATTGTAAAGATTCTCATTTCATCAAATTTGTCTATTAGACCATCAGAACCTCTATACTGCCCATGAAAATATACTGCGAACATAAAAGCGTTCGTTCTTTTTGAAAACAAAACTCTTCTAAATCCTATTGCCTTTGCATCTGAAGGACTTTGAAGCCAACGAATTGGATAGTCAAACCTGTAAGTACGGGATGAAATTTCTTCATCTGAAATATTTCTACCGGCATTTGTAAAGATATAGTCTAACGGTTTTGTATCTGCTACTTTTGTTCTTTGTTTTTCAACCTGAAACATTTAATATATGTAAAAATATACTGTTTTAAAATAGTATGCCATTTCATATTTCTCATCTAACAAACAAGTTGTCTGACTGCTTGAGGGTTACGTTTGTACCATTCGAACTTGACACTTACAATTCCTTCAATTGCATTCAGGATGTCTGAGTCGGAATCAACCATTTGTTCTCTCTTTGTAGTCTTGAAAGCGTCAAGAAGTTTTGCAGCTGTTTGTTCATTGCCATTTGCATAGTAAATGTGACCATCCAAATCTGTTACGGTTAGTCTGAGATTGTATCCTTTCTTATTTCCGTCTTGAATGGCAGCAAGTACACCCATGAAGCCTTCTTTGTTCTTTCCTTCGTCAAAGTTTACTGTAAAGGTTCGACCAGATGTAATTTGACTTCTAACTTCGCGATACTTTTCATATGCATATCTTGTTCTTTCCATGGGAGCATGACCATCCTCTGCACTACCTTTTTTCCTCCTCAAGGGATACAATTGTTCGTCATGTTTCCAGTAGAATCTGGCAAAGCCGTCTTGTCCTTCAACCTGAGGCTCACTAACATCGAAAGGCATGTTCATAAGACGCTCTTCCTCTAACCTCTCTAGTCTGTTTGGATAATTGGCGCGTGCTGTTTCAAGGTCCATTTCGTAGGTCAGACCAGCCAGTTTGTCATAGACTTTTATGGGTCTTCCCTTCCTATATTTAAACTTCTTTGAAACTTTCCAACCATATCTTTCTAACTCTGCTTTTATTCTAGCAGACCTTCTATCCATTCTATGCGAGGGCATTTTTATAAAAATAAAAAAATGTTTTTTTTAAAATGGTATGCCATATAGCTTCTTGAATTTGTTAAGATATAGTCTAATGTATTTTCCATCTGTATCTCTAGCGTTTACATAAGCACAGCCTTCCTTAGTAAAACATACTTGTAATTTCCTATAGTTTACGCCGGTATAAAAGTAGAAAGAGTCCTGTTCTTCGCTATAGTAGTAAAACTCAAACGTATGCTTACCATAGTCTGTAATTTCAATTGCTTCATCTTCTAGTTCGTCGACAAATTCGAATACTATATCTCGAAAATTGCTTTTGTTCTTATTGTTTTAGAACAAGTGACCCAGCGTAAGTTTTCAAGTCTATTGTCATTTCTTATATGGTTTATATGGTCTACAAAAGGTAGATTGTTAGGGTTCGGTATAAAATGAGTTGCAATGACAACATGTTAAGATAGTGTTTCCCACCAACCCTCATCCTAGCATATCCGTTATTTTGCTCCCATTCGCTTAAAACTCTTTTTGTCTTTTTGTTTCTGACTTCAAATGACTCACAACAGTGAATTTCATATTTCTCATCTAACAAACAAGTTTCCCAACGGTCTTCTCCAACAAACTCAGCGTACATTTCAAATAAAATAAAAAAATATTTTTTTTAAAATATGTTGTTTTAAATGGTATGCCATTTCATATTTCATCGTCTAACAAACAAGTTTCCCAACGGTCTTTTCCAACAAACTCAGCGTACAGTTCAAATAAAAATAAAAAAATATACTGTTTTAAAAATGTTTTTTTCTTTACTTTACATAACCACCAGCTACCATAAGCCTTTGACGCCAACCCATACCAGCTAATGAAGGTTGGCTTGTTTTAGTAGTTTCCAAACTAAACTTTGGTTTTGGTTTATCTTCAGTTTTTGGCTCACCTTCTTCTATTGGTTTTTCGTCACTTTTTGGTTCCTCTGACTTTACCTCACTTGCAGGTATGGTTGTGTCGTTAGTATCTTCATAAATATCATATGCCATCTTTTTTTGTTTTCCTTTCAACTTTTTGTGTTTGTTGTAAAGTTTAGAATATTTCGACTCTAAGTCAATGAGATGTTCTATAATGAACTGTTCGTCGGTAAAATATACTTTTCCATCTGTTGTCTCTTTAACTCCTTCAGACTTCAATATTTTATTTGTGAGAGTCTGTTTCTTTTTTGAGATACTAGCCGTTCCATTTCTATGAAAAGTGACTTTATAGTTAGGGTTTGCATTTCCAGACCTGGCACTTTCTATTATTGAATTTTTCTCTTCATCTGTAAGTTCTTTGACAGGTTTTGACAATGGTTCTGAACTTTTTGTTTGTGGTGTCAAATCTACCGTTTCAACTTCTTCGGTCATTTCATCTCAGTAAAAAATTTTAGTTTGGTTTGTTTTCAACTGGTTGTTGTTGTTTTTTAAGTCGGTCTAAAACTTCCTGGGGTATAGGGAGGACTTGACAAACACGTGGTTGTGTAACTGCTGGAAGCCGACAAATCCATCTTGAGCCCATTTGTCTCAATGCTGTATTGTTCATTTCATCTCAGTAAAAAAATTTACATTCCCCACGTTTGAGGCGGTTGCGGTTGGTTGTTGTTTACCCACTGTTGTGCATGGTTATATCCTCTGTTAAAGAATCTTTCACCTTGGTCCATATAGTGCCCTGCTTGGTTATAGTAGTCATTTGCTTTGTTATAATAGTTTCCTGCTTGTCTGGAAACATTGTCCATCCATCCTTGAACTTTTCCTCTTGTTTCAGGATTTGGAATAAGATTTGCTGCATCTCGTGCTACATCCCAACCTTTCTGTACAGTTTGTATAATAGGTGTTGCTTTCTCTTTCAGTATACCTAATGTACTCAAAATCTTCCTTCCAACTCCAAATACACCTCTGGCTATTGTTCCCACTGCGGGCAAAAATCTGGATGCAACTCCTGCTAATGCGCCAAATAAACCCATTTCTTATGGGTTAAAAAATGACGAATCCAAACAAGGACCCCTATGTTTCTAAGGCAACAAAGAAAGCACTCATGGTAAAAATCTTTAGTTCAACACCAAATGCTTGGTTTATGGATATCTTGGAAAACATTCCGAGGTATAGAGAAGATGGACCACCATACTGGCTAATATTTGTCGGTCAAAACACAAGATACTGTGAAGCCATACATTATGGTCCAAAATATTTTAGATGTGAAAACTGCTTTGACAATATTCGTTGACAAATACCATCCAACAAAACTGACATCTGACTGTGAAAGTTCTTTCAAATCAGACGATATTAAAAACTACCTGCGTTCAAAAAATGTAAACCAATATTTCATTGTCGACCAAAACCATTCTGCTCTTGGTGTCATTGACAGTTGTATAAAAATCTTAAGAGACTTAAATCAACCACAAGGTGGTGAAGCAAATGAAATGTCATATGACGACAAATATAGACACTTCTCCATGGCAAAGATGAGACAAGTTTTAAATATTTACAATAACCGTAAACAAAAAGGTTTGGGAAACCACTCCCCCGAAGAAATGAAAAACAACCCTGGCTTAGAGAAAGACTATATATTTAACAATTTAGTCAAAAGAGACAAACAAGAAAGAATGCCGGGCTTCAAACTTCAGAAAGGTGACAAAGTAAAAATAGAAATACCTAAACGCGACCCATATGAAAATACTATTGACTATGACAACAATGGGAACCCGACAGGTACTCACGTTCGTGTTCGTAAAAATAGAAGAAAGTATACAAGAGAATATTATGAAGTTTTAGGCAAACATGGCAAAATGTACAGACTGCAAGCAGAAGATAAAACTACTATTGTCAGACCTCGTTTCAAACTTGTTAAGGTTCAAGGTGGTATACTTTCAAAGACAGTTCCTAACAAATATAAGACAACTCCTGACGAATATGCTAAAGAAGTTGAAAATGACGACTAAGCAATTCTATACATGCGTAAACTGTCATGTAAGGTGGCATGTAGTCTTTACTTTGTCCTGTTGTTTGCGTATACCCTGAAACGCGATGTGTATGGTTTCCTTCTCCCTGTGTGCTACCCCAGAAACAATTTATAGCAAACTGAACGTTGTCTTTAACATCATATCCTTTACCTTTTTTCATTGCTGACCAATCCCAAAATCTATGCTTATGCCAACCTGCTTCAGATGTAGTTAAATCTATGTAGTGACTGTGCGCAGGTAAGTTTTCACCTGAAATCGTTTTACTTCCACCTGTTTCCTTTGAAGAGTTTGCACAATACAAAAACCTGTCGACTATTTGAGTCCAAGTTCCAAAACCAAGTACTACTTCTGGTCTGGTAGAGTTCATTGACGTGTAAATAGAACCTATAGGATATACTGTTTGAAGTATTTCAATCTTTAATGTTTGAAGCTCTGTTTTGTCAGCTTTTTTATCATATAAATCTTGAGCAGTGAATTTAACATTGTTTCATCCTCCATGACATAGACATTTCTACATCTAATGTATCTCATCGTTGTTATGTCTTCTTCCGATGTTAAACCTTGTGGAAAGTTAGGAGGTTTCCAATTTAATACATCCCCACCAGCTCCTTCAACCGTTCTTCAATATTTTCTATACCAACAGTTGCGAAGAAATCGTGTGTATGTCCAACGTCACTTTTCCTGTTTAAGGTTTCTTGTAAGTTTGTAATATTTGCAATGGTATGTGTATGAGTCTTTTTAGAATATTCTTTGTCAGCTCTTGTCACTTCACTTGACATTTTATTGTCAACATATGTTTTATCTGCTTTGTCATCTAACATTGCTGGTAGTTCATCTACGTCATAGATGTTATGTGTATGATGTTTTTGTGGGTATGTTCTATCTGTCCATGCGAGAATATAGTCTCTTGTTGCATCTACATACTCTTTGTCAGCTTTGTTGTCAATATCTGCCTTCAAAAGAAGTTCATCTATAGGTTTCTCGTTTAAAGTTCTTTTTGTTGGATTTATACAAACAGTATGGTTCTTGTTGTCTTGAAACAGAAACTCGTCTGTTAAAGGGTTTATCGTCAGTTTTAAGTTTCCTTCTTTCAATGACTCAGATATCTTAGAATAGTTTGAAAAGTTTGTTGTGTTCTTATTTAGAGCTTGTACAATGAGTTGTCGGTTGTGTTGTATTTCTCTCATAGACGCTGTTTCTTTCGACATTTTTATTCTAGATAAAATATGCTTTCAATAGAAAAAGAAAATTCTAGAGTTGCTACAACTAAACCATTAGATGAACTTTTTACGAATGTCGGTCAAAAGTTTGAGACAGAGACCGTAAAGCATGAAGGCTATCGTTTTGACTACCCGTTAAGATGGCTAAGAGACCCATCCGTCACAAAAGCTATTGGCTTTCGTAGAATGAAATTCATTTCAGAAGCCATACATGGTTTCCCATTTACGGTCGCTTTTGAAATTCGATACTATAACAAAGAGAAACGTACGTATGAGAAATTTGAACAGGGAAAACTTTTACAAGTGAATTTGCTTGTAAACTTAGAAACAACTCTTCAAGCTTTTCAAGAAAAAATAAACGATATCTATCTCGAATATGCAAAACAGTACAACATTGACGAAGGAGAGTACCATCTCGATATTATATATGACAGGAAAAATGCAACTGTTAAAATCAATAGAATAGAAGACCTTGGAGAAGACGTTTATATTTCTACAAAATATAACAACTTGGCATGGTATAGGTTTCTGAGGATGTTAAATCAGCCTGCAGAATATCCAGTACACCCGGACTTTTATGAAGTCGAAACCCTAATGGAACATATGAAAATGTTTTCGACTCAGATGCTATTATAGTTCATGCTTCATTTTCTGGTGCACAAAACTCTTTTTTATGCTTGGCAAATGACTTTTACGAAAAACCTACAAAGTTATACGAACCACCAAGTGGAAGTATTTCAGACTTTCAAGTATGGTTTACTACAGATGGAAGAAAGAGAATAATTCCATTATACCATGCGTTTTACTTAGAACTTAGTTTCATAATACAACTACTATCGAACGTAAAAATATAATTTTAATACGGTTGAGGTGTTGGATTTGTTGCCAACTAGACTGTGGTGCAGGTTCAGGCTGTTGTATAACAGGAGCTTGTTCTTCTGGTTCAGGGTCTTTAGGTATAATACCAACGAACTGACCTACTCTTTTGCCAATATTTTTGACTCCGTTCCATACTCCCCTTCCTACGGTTTTATTCCATTCCATATACCTCTTCCAACATTTCGAAAGAAGTTTCCAATACTACTGAAGAACCCATTTTACTATATGTAAAAATCTAATGTCCACCTAGTCTCTTACGTTTCCTGTTGAGTTCCATAGCATTCTTTAACTGGAGCTCATACATTCTATTTCTCCTCTGGTAGAAAACATACTCTGGGTCAACTCCTGTGTTCGCGTCATCTGCATAGAGTTGTTTATATCCACTTCGGGGTTTGTATAAAACTCTTTCCATCTCATATTTGCATACCATGGTGGTAAGCCTAACGCAGCGTCATTTGACATGGCAGTTTGCATTTGTACATCTGTTGGCACTTGACCATAGTTTGCCATTGCAGTTTGTATTCTAACTTCATTTGGAATATTCTCTGGGTTTGGTTGTCCAGGTTGCTGTGCATTCGCTAAGTTCTGTGCGTCCATTTAATATTAGATAAAAATATCTCTTACGAGTACATATGCTGAACATTTGCAGGCATTGGTTCATCTTCATATTCTCTATATCTTTCTGCCACGTCAAATAAGTAAATGACACAATGGAAAAAACCTAAAACAAGTAGTCCTATTTCAAACCACATTTACTTACTAGTAAAATTTCTTTGTTATGACACTTTCTCCGGTTTATAGGACCTCTCTCATATTCTATCTTGTCATATCTAAACTCATAGTCATGTATGTCCTCTAACCATCTCATAACGGTTTCCAAACCACTTTTATCGGATGTAAAGTAAAAGCATGGATGGTTATGTATAACGTCTAAAGTTTCTAAAGAGTCTCTCAAAGTCCAGTCTACTTGGTATTGAAAATCCCATGTGTTATAGAACGGCGGGTCCACTATAAAGAAAACATTTTCCTTGTCTTTATATTTTTCATACAACTCTGTCCAATGACATCTCACAAACTCTATACCCTCAATATATTTTTCTATGTCCTCTTTGAAAACATTTGTATAGTTAAGATATAAAACTTTTGACATAAGTGTTTCAATGTCATGAACTCTTATAGAACCACTATATAATAGTCTAGCAGATATACTATCCCAGTCTATATATTCTGCTTTTTTCAAAACCTCTCTGACAGTATTTTTCTTATCTAATGGTATACGTTCCATCTTACCTATAGGTATCTTTTCTTTCAACTCACTCAATATTTTATTTGTGTCTGGTATATGTTTGAGACGGTTCATATAGTTGTCGAAGTCATTGCATATAATCTTTGAGTCAGGAAATACAGTATGGCACAAATGGGATATATAGAAACTTCCACCGAACAAATCTACAAATGTTAGACCATTCGGTAGTTTCTTAAGTTCTCTCAATAGAATATCTTTACATCTACTCTTATTTCCAAAGAAGGGTAACGGTGGTTTTGTGAAATTCATTTTATATTTAATAAAAATGTTTTTTTCCTGAAAAGTGACAGAAAAGTGACAAAACATGTACGAAGAAGTCTTGACAAAACATTTTACGAAGAAGTCTTGACAAAACATTTACGAAGAAGTCTTGACAAAACATTTACGAAGAAATCATGAGTTTTCTACGATGTTAGAAAACATGTTAGAAAACGTGTTAGATCTAACATTCTAACATAAACATTATTTTTGGGTCATTTACGCTCATTACGAAGAAGTCTTGACAAAACATTTACGAAGAAGTCTTGACAAAACATTTACGAAGAAGTCTTGACAAAACATTTACGAAGAAGTCTTGACAAAACATTTACGAAGAAGTCTTGACAAAACATTTACGAAGAAGTCTTGACAAAACATTTACGAAGAAGTCTTGACAAAACATTTACGAAGAAGTCTTGACAAAACATGAAAACATATATAATTTGTGAAAAGCTCCTGGAAGACCTCCGAATAAAAACTTCATTTATGTGGGCTAGAAGGCACGAAGTGCCTGGAAGACCACCCCAAGAAAAAAAAAACTTCATTATACCAATCATCCTCAGGGCTAGAAGGCACGAAGTGCCTGGAAGCCCCACTCCCTTTTTTTTTTTTTTTTTTTTTTTTTTTTTTTTTTTCCATATATATTATATAACTATAGAATATCAGTTTCTCAAAAATTTAAAGTTTTATTTTGATGAAATTGAAGGTTTATCAGAAATTAAATTAGAAACAGGAATATTCAGAATGTGAATAGAATCTTTCTTATTTCTAATTCGAAGAGGGCATAATGAAAGAGAATATAAACTGTTAAGTTCGATTTTTGTCATAAACACAGAATTCTGAATATTTTCATTTGCAGACCCTACTTGTCCATCTTGAATATAAAATAAATTAGAAGCTCAGTTCCCTTTGAATAAACTTTTATTTACTGAACGTACGACGTTTGAGACATCAAAAATTCCAAAATAGAATTGTAACGCTACAATATCAATATAAAAAAAGTGGAAAATTGAATGAATTCTGATCGTGTTTTTTCACTTTTTTCCCACTCTAGAATGATACACATGATAAACAAAAAAGAATAGAAGAATATTTGCTTGTTAATATAATAACTAATACACTAAAAGTGTTGTTTATTTCAAATAAGAAAAGAATTCACATTATTACAAACAAAAAAAATATTATAAAAAATATAAAACAGAATATATAAAATTAAAAATGTAAAGAAGCCAATTCATTCGCAATGTGTGAAACAGCACTTTCTTCCATGCTCTCAGATGTGAAGTCTATAAACCCTGGCACATCTTCGAACTGGTGTTTCAAGTTCTTCTTCATTTCGTCCATCTCAATAATGATCAAATCCGGATCCATACTCGAAATCTGTCTGACAGAAACCAAGAAATTCTTCAAACAATTTCTAAACTCTTCATCCGGAGTATTTTCATTAAACAGAACAGTCAATATATCTCCTATTTCAGAAGGTGTTTCAGTAGGAAACATCTGGCAAAGAGAAGAACCAAGTTCTATTGCCTGTTGTTTAATTATCTGCAAATTCACAATTGTTTTAATCAGCATAACTTGGTATCTAAAAGAAGATTTCGTGGAAGTATCAGCCAATACTTGGAAAGCAAACAACATCAAATCCATTGCATTCCTTTCACAAAACTGCTCAAATATCTCTCCGCCAATTCTTGATAATCCATTAATCAGCTCATTCATCGCTCTGATCGCTATTTCATTCGTATTCGACATTGGATGGTTGCAGCCCCATTTCAAACACTCGATGAAGCTGTCTTGATCTTCTTCTGGTATCATTGCAATGAATCGCGGTGAATCAAGACATAGATGCCTCATAAATGTTAAAAATGAGTCCCTGAATTCAGGAATTTCATTCAATTCGTCGCCAACAATAGAAACAACTGGTCTGTATAATTTGTTCAGGATTTCATCAAGATAAGGTGCTACTAAGTTTCCGTAGTATTTTATGATGTTTGAACAGTACTCAAACACTTTGGGAACACGGAAACAAGATAGACTTGATGAGAATTCGTCTAAAACGTAAATTAAAACGTTGGAAATCAAAAATTCCGAGGCAAAAACGTCATCTCGTATGACATGACATAATAAACAAAGATATGAGAGTAGAATGGACCGGATTCTCATAGATGCTGCGGTTTCCCGCCAGTAATCAACACGGGGATCGGCGTAAAACTGTTTGATTAAATCGGAAAATCTTTGATAGTAATTTATGAAGAATTGGGCGGATTGCTTGATCAAGTCTGGTATGAACTCGTGTAAATATGCAACTGTTTTGTCGATACAGCCAATAATGACAAAGAAATCTTCATATGATTCGAAATCGTTCTGAGAAATCTTCTCCCAGGCTTCGTTCATCTTCTGTACAAGGAACTCCATGATCTGGTTAGACAATTCATGGCGAGATTCAACGGGAGCTGCTAAAACAACGATACCGATAAATTCAAACATAGGGGGAACAAAGTCAGAAAACAAGGGGTGGATGATTATTTCGGTTTGTTCGATAATACTCGTTATGAGGGTCATATCGCCTGTTGCTGTGTAAAATTCGTCTTTGCAACGACAGCCGATCTTTTTAAGCGTATCTACTGCATACTCTTGAATTTCAATTATATCGTACTGCATCGATTCAATTATTTTTGTGAATGTCATCACAAAATATTCTGTGTTTCGCTTCAAAAAGTCGGTATATTGTGTACACATAAACATGAAGCCGATCGCGGCGGCTTTGAAGAGTTCCCCGTGTTCGGTGTCCTCTGTCATGATTCTTAAGTATGGTTCAAAGAAGGATGGATTCAATTCGTCCTCGATTTCGGATACAATTGCACCGGCAACTGCTCCATAAGCGTAACTCATGGAGAGAATGCCATTTGGATCGAGAGTTCCGTTTGTAAACTCTGAATGGCGCTCTTTAAAGGCTAAAAGAGTGGCTTGTGTGTCAAGATTTGTTATGAAAACTAAGATTTCTCTGGCGTTTGAATATTGTGAGCCAAAACCATGGCCACTGATAAGTCTGCGATGTTCTGTGCCATCGGATTCACAGAAACTTGTGCTTTGATGAGGAGATGGCATTCTATTTATTAAAATCTGACGAAGATATGGAAATAGTTCAACATATATGGGTGTAACTTCGAGATTGATCTTTTGTGTGATGTTAATATAGATTCTTCTTAAAATTTGGACCCAATATTCCAATAAATCTTCAAAAATGTCTGTTTTTGAGTCTGTAATATCTAATAACCAATCAAGTAATATTTTGAGATTCTGTTCGTGCTCTTCGACTTCGACAATTGTATAATATTGTTGTAAGAACTCTATAATGGCTGTAACAAAGTATTCGACAAATTCATCGTCACCTGATAATTTTTGTGCCTCTATAAAACTGTTTCCAATTGAGCTGCTGAGTTTTCCAACGATTAAATCGAAAAGTTGACCGAGAAAAGGGTAAAGCTCTTCAGGAATGTCTTCCATGGATACGATATTTGTAATAACGCCGATAACAGCAACGCAAAGATCTGAATTCAGAAGATATTTCGTAAGAAGTTCGTTAAGAAGCGAAGACTGTAACAAAACCTCTGGATTTAAGTAAGTAACAAGACGTCCAAGTGTTGCAAGCGAAGACTGAATCAACGAAGTGTTATTTGTTTCGAATGTTTCTTGAATCAAGTTAATTATTGAATCTATGTATTTTTCGAGTTCCTCTTTCATTTCCTGTGATCTCACTGATGTCAGAGAGTTCTCGAAACATTCCTCAACTTCATCAGCAAGTGTAGATAAAATCGAAAATACGTTTTTGCAGTGATTTTGAGATTTATGAGACATCTGAAGTAGATCTGAAAGGAATGACGGCCACCGTTCTGGAAAATCGTATTTAGCGATCTCTACAAGAATTAAATTTGCCTCACTGATGTGACTTTGTTCTCCGTTGTTTTCGATGTAATTGTCGATGAATATGTTGATATATTGCTTGATCTCTTCCTTGAAATCATTAGGTAGACTTAACCATCTGAATTTCACGGCATCTAACAAAGCAGTTAAGGCAATATACTTAGTACCTGATGAAAATTCTGACCCTAAAACATCTTTGACACATTTGTATGCATCATCACGTTTTATAAAACTCATAAGGATGCTGTTCGCATCTTCGTGAGAGATTTGATTGTCCTGATGATACAGACAGCGTACAACTGTGTCTAGGTCAACTAAGTTGATGTCAGTCCCAGGTATTGCTAGTAAATCCATAAACAGAAAAGTTTTGTACATGTCACATTTTTTCCGGAATGTTTTTCATATCAAAGATAAGTTGTATGGGTCTAAGGATGTCAATTTGGAAGAAAAGTGAGAAAATTCCTAAAATGCTAAAAAGGAATTTTCCAAACGTATTTTTTTATCTCATTTTTTTGATTTTGAAAAAAATTTGGAGAGAAGAACTCTTCGTTTTTGAATTTTATCACGATGGTTTTAAAGTATATTAGACACATGTATTGGTATTACTATTTTTGTATATTTTGAGAGAAAATCCCTAAAAAGTGAGAAAATCTAAGACGGTTTGAGAAAATATATAAACTATTGAAAATTTGAATTAAACTTCTAATTTGGAAAAAAGAAATTTGGAAAGAAGAAAATTCAAAAATCGAGATTTAGACTCAGCATCAAATGGAGAACAAAATGTTTCTTCATATGAAGGAAAAAAATTTTCTTGTGAAGAAATAGAGTTTTTAAAATTTTATTGTATGTAATGAAATAAACAAATATTAAAATTATTTTTTGATAACAAGAAAATTCCCAATAGAAAATATTTGAGAGAAAGAAAAAAAGAAAAATGAAAAATATTACTCTCCTTTATATTTCATGAGATTTTAAATTTATTCTCATAAAATTGACAAATATCTTAAATATCTGGATCACTCACATATACAATGAATTGAACGATAAAAATAATACAAACTCAACTAAGTTTCCTGTCTTTCAACTAAAAAAAAATATGCAAATTAAATTAAATTGTTTATTCAAATATAAAACAAAGATGAAGTAATTACAGTTATCATAAACTTTATGAATAACTCTGTAATTGGTTCAGATTTTCGTAAAAATATTTTTATTAATATCGATAAGAATACGTTTACTTACTATCACAACATATCGATAAACAAGAGTAGAGTGATTTTTATCATCGAAACTTTTTAAAAGCTGTAAGCTGGAAGGAAAAATCTTGTTTTTTCTGAGTTAGTTGTAGAACTATTGATGCATGAGTTATCATTGTGATGTAGAAGGATGTCGATGTACTGACTGAAGGATATGAAGTGAATTGAATTTCATTGCATTTCAATTTGATCAAAATTTGTTGAAATGATATGAATGTGTCAACATCTGTATCACTCTCTTTCACTCCTTCCCTATTCTTTCGAGAACGAAGCTAGCTCAGCTTTCGCTGAGCGAATTGACACTTTTGATGTCCTAAACGTACATCCTCTCAAATTTATCGAAAAAAATTATACCACCTAAACTAGTATATTCTTATTTTAAATATGATATTATCCTTAGAATCCACACTAGAATATATTTAAATCAACTGTTAAAAAAGTTCGAATCCTGCGCGTCTCACTTTTTAAATTTTCCAAAAGGAAAATTATATTCTCCTAAAATGAAAACAATTTTCCGAATTGACATCCTTAATGGGTCAGATTTTGAAAATCAACCCAGTGTTCTCCATACCTTATGCTGAGATTACAGAATAAAAAAAGGTAACTAAACTCCTTTCGCCGATCCGATTTGCCCCATATTTAAAATATAGCTTGCATATGTAGAAGAAAAGCTAATTTTGAAGTACGCCCCAAATCCACCAACAGGATTTCGAGCTACTAAAAAGGTACTTTTAAATGTGATTTTTTTTATAAAAAATTAAATTTATTTTAAGATCAGACTAAAAACTAATTTTATGGAAAATCTATATCGACAAATTTATTACTTATTGGGTATATAGATTTTTTGATTATGGCGATTATGTCTGATATGCTTCCAATAAGCCAAAACACATTTCATACTGATTTCTATAAAAGGTATCTTTATTATAGAAGTGTAAGCTATATCTGTTTGTTTTTTTATTATAACAAATTCAAAATTCTCTTATAAGGACTAGATGAAATCTGTATTATTAAATCATTAGCTAAATGAAGGTTCAAATAGAAAGTAAATATCAATTTATATGATACTGAAACCAAATAGTTCTTTTAATAAAAGATAACACGCTGAAAATTATTGAGTATTTGCAAATCTCAAAAATCTATTGGTGAATTTGGCTCAACTTTTAAAATTATAACATCCATATCAAATCATAAAAGCAGACAAAAATTAAAGCCAAACCTATCGGCCAATTTTTTTTGATATTTTGATTTTTGAGGTATACTTTTAAAAGTGGATTTAAAGCACTGATGAAAAAACATTAACTTCTGTCGTTATGATTATTGATTTAGACAATAATGATTTTAATCTTTGATTATCAAAACACTAAAGTCATCTTTTTAACATTTGCTTGGTAGCATTAACTCAAGTCTAAAGTACTATTTTATGTGGCACTCTTAGAATTTTTGTATTCATTGTACACGCTGAAATAGTACCATTAAAGTTATGGCGGACTTTCAAAAAATAGTTTGGTCACCTTTGAATAAAATTGAATCGTTCCAGAGAATAACGACTTTAGAATCAAATTAACAAGTGAAACTAGTTAAGCATCATTTATCATTTAATATTTAATTATTATTTTTGTATTCTCGTTTTGATTTTTCCATAGTAGTATATGTGGACGGGTTGTGTGACCTTTTTTGTAAACGTAAGAATTCATACAATATTGAACGATTTTGTATCATTTTTTTTTAACATATGAAGTAAAAATGAATGATTCTTACGGTTTTTATTCTTACGTTTTTGAATAAATCAAGATTTAAAAATGATACAAAATTGTAAGACATTTACACTCAACCCATAAATGATGTAATAAACACATTAAAAAAAATTGACATTAATTTTAAAATAATTCATTTTTTTTATTCTTACATAAATGAACGGAACAAGATTCGTGACTGTGAATCAATTAATGGATAAACTTTCACCAATTCTCACCCAGGTTAAACAAGTAGACGTTTATTTTGATGATTACATAGAAAGTTTATTTTATAAAGGTAAGTTTAATATTAAACCTATTGCTTTTGCATTTGATGGTAAATTAATCGAAAATTCAAAAATTTGGGAATTAATTCCGGATATTGAATTTATAACAAATATTAAGGATAAATGGTTTAAACAACAAAACCACCTCACTAAAGTTCTTTGTAGATTAATGATTAAAACTGAGGAAAAAGAATTTAACGAGTTTAAATATCATCCATGTAAAATTTTAGAACTTGGTAACAAAAAACTTCAGAAAAAATTAAACGATAGACTATCAAAAGATAGAATCGAAAGAATAAATAAACTCGCTATAGATAATGGTAATGATGAAGAAGAATTTGATGAGTTCAACATAGAACTTTAAGAAACTAATGATTATTTGAATTTATGAAATCAATTATTTGATTCATGTCTTACATTTTTGAATATTTTATTTTTTTTATTTTGTATCAAATGAGTGTCACAACTAACAATGTTAAAAATTTAGGATTCACAAATGAGGAAATAAAGGATATATTAGAGGAGGCGGGTTATGAGGTTGATAAATATTATTTAAGAAATTGTAAAAAATTCGCGGAGTTTTTAAATGAATTTGATTATGATGGAAAAATGAATAAAGATGATGTTATAAATTTCTTATATCCCACATCTAAAAAAGAAAAACCTAAAGAACCTGATGTTTTCTCTGAATATTATGAAGAACGAATTAAAGATGATGAATATGATGAAATTGAAAGACTGGAAAAAATAAGAGATGAAATAGATGAAAAAATTAAGGAATTAAGAGAAGTTGAAAATGAAGTAGAGGGTTTAATGAATATCCCAGCTTCAGAATCAGAAGTTCAGAAATCTCATGAAGAAAGATATAAAAATTATGTCTTAGAATCAACACAAAATTTATTAGATGGTGACATAGATGAAACACTTTCAGAAGAAGGAACTAAATTTATTCGTAAACATAAGTTACAATTTATTAATAATGAAGAATACCCTTGTATATTACTTTCACCACCTTTAGATTCTGAGAAATTCAAAAAAGCTCTTAAAAACGTGACATATGCAACTAATACGATTAAGAAAGAAGATCATGATATTTACACAAATTATTATTTAAATAAATGCACAGGTGTTGATAAAGTTTTTGATTTATTAGATAAAATATCAAAAGAAACCATTGGAACCTATAAAATTTTGTGTGATTGTGGTTTCATTATTGAAGATACCAATAATGTTTCATATGAAAGAACAGCACCGAAGGAAGATGAAGTTGAAAGGTCTATACCATTCGTTATTAAGAACATAAAAGATATGAAAACTTATAAGCATTATATTTATTCATTTATTTCAGAAAAAATGGAAGCAACCCATAAAACATCTTCTCATCATTTTATAGCTATTCATACATTCCTTTTCAAAGTTGTGAAATTAAATAAGACAGGAATTAGATTTAATGTATCAGGGTACACATTCTTGAGTAAATTAAAATGTATTCGTCACGTCGCAGATGATAAAAATTTATGTATTCTTAATTCATTTTATGGACTTTAATAAATAAACTTTATTTTTATTTTTTAATCTTTTATTCTTACATAAATGAACAAAAACGGAACAGCTAAAATGAATGATAATCAAATTAGAGCAGAAGGTAGAAGGTTATTTAAACGCTTCTATAACATTCCTGATGGTGTTAATCCTAAAACTCGTAGAAGCTATTTAAATGAAGCAATAGATGCATATGACGGGTTTGACATTTCATCAGAAAGTGAGAGATTAGCGAGAATGTTAAATGTTAATATTGATTTCTATTATTGTGATCCTCAACCAGAAGATGTGGATATAAATAAGGTAGACTTTCCATTAGTGGAATCAATAATGATAGATCCAGAATTTGAAACAGTAAATATTTTATTAACACAGAGTCCATGTGGAAAACTTCACGCTGACAGAATAACAGACGTTGAAGCACTCACCGGCTATAAAGTTTGTCCATATTGTAAAGAAAAGTTTATTCTATCGCGATGATCCAGAAAGGAAAAACCAAAGAAGATTTTTAAAGCATTGTGAGAAATGTAAAGAAAATAATGGAAGATTAATTCAAGACGTTCAATTGCAAAAGAACAGCAACCATATGCACCACATATTACGAAACAGAAGATATATCAGTGGTTATTAGCTCACAATTTGCAGGAATATTATCAACCAACAAGATATTATATTACTTTTGACTTTGAAACATTAGAGACTAAAGAAGAATTACAACTTTCTGAGTGTGCAACTTTGAATGCTTACTTAAAACCATTCATGGTATCATCAACGGTTAAATTAAATGATAAAACATATACGAGGAATTTTTGCTTAACTTCGAGTGATTCTTTTATTTCTGATTGGATTGAGTTTTTATTTTCAACCTGTTCATTAGTTGCTAAATCAAATATTGAACAATATGAAGAATTATTGAAGCCACAAACGGTGGGGACTTTGTCTCATACATTAAATGAAAAACAGAAGGAAGCATTTAAAGAACTTCTAGATGAGGAATTTAATAAAGTGAATATCATAGGTTTTAATTCGGGAAAGTTTGATTTAAATTTAATTCTTCGTGATTTAAATACTGCAAAATGGAAAATAAAATCAATGCTGGGTTCATCTTCACAATTTAAGCAAATCATTGTAAAGAAAACAAACGTTCCATATGAATTGAGATTTATTGACATCAAAAATTATATAGCGGGTGGGACATTGGAACAATTCACTCAAGATTTCGGAAACAATAAATCACGTGTTAAATCCTTTTTTCCTTATCAATTCATCACATGGGAGAATTACGAAGAAGAATTATATAAAGTGGAACCATTCACGAAAGATTCATTTTATTCAGCATTAACTCAAGAAACTATATCAGATAGTGATTATCAAATATATCTCAATGATGCTAAAAATTTTAAGAATAGATTAGAATATTTTATTCATTATTGCAATAAAGATGTTGAAATTATGATTGACCCAATTGATAAAATTATTGAAGAAACATTTGTTTATAAAATTGATATGCTTCATAATCTTTCTTTATCATCGAATGCTTCAATGATTCGTTACGCTTTAGCATATAAAGACTTTAATCATAATGAAAAATATCCTGAGGAAGAGATAGAATCAAGTTTTGAATTAACGAAAAAGTATTGGAAATATAAAATTGAATCATATAAGAAACAAGATGAAAAAGCAGAAAGAGATATAAAAATAATGTTTCAATGGATGATTTTCAATACTATCACGATTTAATCCTTTCATCTAAATGCAAAATGTGTGGTAAAGCGTTTACATATGCAAATAAACCAACATTGGATAGAATCGATAATGAAAAACCACATACCAAAGAAAATTGTCAGTTAATGTGTTGTTATTGCAATGTCGTAAAATCAAATAAAGACGAAGATGTTCAACGTTTAAGAATCAATTTAAGAAATTATGCATTAAAAAATAATTTACCAATGACTTTAGATTCAGTTGAAGCTTATCACATTCTCCGTAATGGAATTACTGGTGGTCTATCAAATGTTCAACATCGTGTTAATCTTAAAGGAATCACACATTAATAAACTTTCATATAATCCAGAAACTAAAACTGTATCAAATGAGGACACCACCAACATCATGACTCATTTCGTTGGTGTTGATTTTAATTCATTATATCCTTCATCATTTTCATCTAATCCTCATGATTTCATTCAATATACTGACCATAAAATGTATATGCCGGGAAGATTGAATGGTGTTATCATTTGTGATACAGCAACAAAGAAAGCAAAAGCATTGGGAATTATTAGAAGAAAAATACTTTATTCGTGGCTGAAGTAAAGGGTCACATTGATGAAAAATACATTAATGATTACATAAACTTTTTACCAATAATAAGAAACTTAGATATTATCACAGATGAAAAAACAATTGGTAGTTTTATGTATAATTACATGAAATCAAACAATCTGCCAGTTGACCAGAAACAGAGAAAATTAACTCAGTTAGCATCAACACACAACCAATATCAACCATTTTCATCTTATTATCTTTGGTATCTAATAGACAGATTTATTTTATCATCGATGATATTCAATCAATTTTAACATTTACGAAAAACACTTGTTTTAATGAATTTGCGAACGAATTTATGAACGAAAGACAAAAGGCTGAATTAGAAGGAAATAAAGGAAAAAGTTTATTTTGCAAGATTTCACTTAATGGATCATATGGTTACGATGCAATGAATACACAAAATTACGCAAAGACTAAAATAATGAATGCACAGAAGGCACGCGTTGCATGTATGTCAAATAAGTTTAAAAACATAAGAGAAATAGGAGAGGATACATATCAAGTGATGCTCAAAGATAGATTTTATAGATGTGAAACATGTTTACAAGAGGCATTCTTTACTTTAGATAATGCTAAATACTGGTATTTGGTTTTCATTTATGATTTTATGTATAAATGTATGGATGTTAATCGTTTTCATTTCATTGAAGGTGATACTGATTCATCTTATTGGGCTATTGCTGGCGATCCAAATCTTCCTAACACTCAAGCATTTCAAGCAATTGTTACCGATAAACAATTTTATGATAAAAACATTTTCAAATTCGCACCATTTGATTTCTTCTGTTTTGATGAGAAATTTAAACCTAAATTAAAGAATAAAGTTGAAGAAAAAGCACATGAGAAGAAGTTATTGGGTTTAGCAATTGAGAAACAAGGTGATAACATGGTTGCTTTATGCCCCAAGTGTTATACATCATTCAACGGTTCAATTGATGGAAGTGATTTTAAAAAGATTGCGCAAAAAATGAAAGGAGTTAGTTTACGACAAAATAAACAATTAACACCTGAAAATTATTTGGATATAATAAATGATAAAGTGATATTTGATGGTCAGAATATTAATTTACAACTTAAAAACGGATTAATGACTCGCTTAACAATCGGTAAGACTGCATTAACAGGAGCACACACTAAGGCTGTATGTTGTGAAAATGGATGTTGTATGCCATTTATTTAATAAAATGCCACAGAAGAGACAAAAGGAACCGTTAATGATGGTTTTGATTCTTGATCAAAGAGGTGGGCACCCCTTAAACATTTATTTTATTTTTATATAAATGGATAATGTAGATTTAAAAATTTTAATTGATGATTTAGTACTTAATCAAAATTTTCTTGATTATTATGATTTAAAAGCATATCTCCAAAAATATGATAACAATATAACGGGTGATGATATGGAATATTATTATCCGTATTATAAAAATGAAATTTTGAAATATCATGATAAAATAATTTCTAAAATTAAAGACAAAATTAAAAATAATGAATATGCAAAGGGAAAAACTAAATCACAACTTAAACAATTGAAAGATTTCAAAAATAAAGTATTAACAGAAGAAGATATTGATGAATTATATAAATTATATAATCCCGAGCCGCAAAAGCCAAATGTTCAACAGTTAAAAGTGCAAAACACCCAGGTCCTTCAGACCATAAATGATGCACAAGCTTTAATTTATGATTCATTAGTTAAACCACATTCAGCCCGACTTTTAAATGAAGATCAACTTTTGGAATTCATCCTTCAACATAAACTCGAAGCGGGAAAGTATATCAAACCTTTATATACAGTATATTTAAAACAAATGAATAGAATACATCCAGAATTAATGAAAGGAGGAATGAAATCCAAAACTTCATCATCCAAAATCAAAGCAGATAAAATTAAACACTTACAACACCAAAACCTCCAACAGTAGTACCTCCTCTCCTTCAGTTAATCCTTCATCATTCACTTTATTATATCCATTTCAAACATTAAAGAAGCAAAAAGATTTTAAAAAGGATTTCAAATATTAAATAAACCAATGACCCAAAAATTCAACCGTTAAAGGAAAAATTTAGTCGCCCCTCATTTGCACCACATCCATATTCATACGAAATCGATCATTTAGAATATTCAAAAGGAAACGTTACTTATTTATTCGCCATTAACATTAACACAGATATTTATATTGCATTCCGGTGAAAGGGAAAACAGAACAGGAAACAAGAAGAGCTATTCAATACTTACTAGATCATGAAAGAGTAGATAATATCAGAGGTGATGGTGATAAAGGATTTCAGGCAGCTATGGCTCATTATTTTCCACAAATTAATTTTTACTTTTCATCCTCTCCATATACGTTTCATAATAAAATAGTTGATGCAGTAATGAGAACTCTTAGAGATGCGTTAGGGGTTAATGGTCAGATATACTGGGATGGAAATCATGACTCCATCATACAGCAGTTAGTATATTATTACAATAATACATGGCATAGAACATAAACATGAAACCGTGGAAATGAAAAATGATATTTCAAAAGAATGGAATATATTAGAAAGCAAATGGAAAGGTTAAATGATGTTAAACGTGAACAAATTAATTCGGGGCTCATGAATTTTAAACAAGGGGATAAAGTTTTGATTCATCTCGATTATGGAAAAACTGATAAATCAATGACAAAAAGAAGACGAAGATTTGACACAATAGCTGAATTTGTTAGATATATTAACGGTAATGTATTAGTTGAGGTTAACAATAAATTAATAGAAATTCCGATTTATTTTATTACTCCATTATATTTAAATAATATTTAATTTTGTTTTTATTTCGTAAGAAATGAGTGACAACGAAGCATCCAAGAGTCCAGACGATGAATATAAAAAGAAACTAAACAAAATTAAATCAAAAATATGCTATTATAAAAAGAAGCCGCAATGTGGTGGGGTTGAAAACGATCAAAGAGATGAAAGAAATAATCGAAAAATTAGAAACTTATCGTTCAATCCTTAAACTGAGTGAAGCAAAAATAAAAGAATTTAATAGAATAAATAAATTGGTTGGAAGAGATGAATTTAATAAAGATGAATTTTTAAACTCAATCCAAATTTAATTTTTATTCCTCATCTTCTCGGTTTTTGTGGTTTGTTGTTTTTAATTTGTTTTTGCATCATTTTTATCATTTCCTCCCTTGTTATGATTCGTGGTAAATTTTGAGCTTGTGGGGTATCCATTTATATAAAATTTTGTTATCAGTTATGTTATCATTAATGATTTCAGGTTATTCAATAATTAATTATTTTTGAAGAACTGAAGGTGCTACCATGTTACCATGTGCTACCAGGTAAATTAACTTCTCTGAAAAATGGTGACAACATGACATTTTGACAACATCACTGGAGGAAGGCACTTATGAATTATTTTTGAAGAACTGAAGGTGCTACCATGTTACCATGTGCTACCAGGTAAATTAACTTCTCTGAAAAATGGTGACAACATGACATTTTGACAACATCACTGGAGGAAGGTAAAAATAAATTCAAATCATACTTTATAAAGCTTCATTTACAGGTATTTCATCGTCAGTAAATGAATCCTCATTATCGTTTGGTTCAACCTGTTTATATAATCCTTTCATTTCTTCTTTCAAAACATAACACCATGTTTGTTTATCGTCTATTCTTCTATGTTTCCTATCACATTTATCCTTAATACTCATTTGAAAATTCTTGTCTTTCATGTCTGATGGTTTGCAGAATAGAGCATTTTTACACGTCATACCTGCACACAATTCATCATAATGTGTATTTATCCATACATCTAAAGGATTTGATGATAATTCAATTAAATCTTGTTTGGCTTCAGTCATCGGTATGATTCGTACATTAAATGATGAAAGGTCATATTGCATAAAATACGTCAGCAAATTATCATAAAATTCCTTTGTGCATGAATCCATTAAATTCTTGAAGTAATCAAATTGACCCTTAAATTTACCATTAACTCTTAAAACTACATATCTTCTGTCTCCAACTTCAATTTTGACAGGGTAAACGTTATTAGTTACGAAAATGAAGTTTGCAACATTCTGAGCTGTTCTTCTGGGTTGATTCTTTTCATTAATTCTTATCTCATTATCCGTTATAATTGATTTCAAAGCGTTGAAGTTTGCGAGTCTATCTTCACCCACATTCTTGAGTTCATTAAGTACAAGAAACATTTTATTCTCAACCACTGAATTGAAATTACCCGTTAGCTCACCTATTTCAGTAATGTTTTTACATGAATAACCGGCGAGAAGTTCGGAAATAATGTCCGTGAATCTGTTTTTACCTGTTCCCTGAAGTCCTTTCAAAATAATTGCTGTTTCATTCTTGATTCCAGGATGTTGAATCATTGATGCAATCCAGCCGAGAAGGTATTTATACACTTCATCGTTATTATCACAAATGACTTCTTTAATGAAATTCATAAACATCTCAATTTTTGAGTAATCTGGTTTTCGAGAATGTTGTATTTATAACCCTGAAACGTTGAGAAAACATCTGGAGAATTAGATTTAAAGCAAACACCCTTAACGGTTAATGAAGACAATTGATTTAGTAGTGCATCCCATGCTGTTATTGTTTTACCTTCTTCATTAAATAATTTAATCATTTTGAGTGACTCTTTCATGTTTGATTGAAGAACGAATGACATTTGATTCATTTTGTCGTGGATATTATAGTCCTTTTGAATGAAATATTTATTTCCACAATCTACAAAACGGATTACACGTGATAAATCCTCAATTACTTCAGAACTGTTTTTATACTGATGATTTTCAGCCTTGCGTCTAATATCTGTTATCAAAAACGAGTCATCAAGTTTGATATCAAATGTTATTTTTGGCTTACGTAATAAAGGTAAAACATATTCATCATAATATTCCTTTTGATATAGTTTTAGAATCTTCACCAAAACAAATGGAGAAGTCATTAAATATGCATATCTACTACGTGCTTTTTCAAAATTACTTTTTGCATTTTCTGTTAAACTGCAGAAGTTATAAACGTTATCGTATGCTTCATTAATTAAATGATTAGGTAACGAATTAATAGCTTGAAACAGTGTGAATAATGTATTTCTTTTTCTAAATTCATGTTTCCACCGTCATTATGTACTTCAAAATCACAGATGCCATCAACTATGCTCTGGGCAAGTTTATCGTCAATGTTTACATCTTTGTTTTCATTCATTATACTCTTTATTTCTTCGTTCTTTTGTTCAACTCTTACCTTAATATTCAAATCATTTAATATATCATTCACTGTTCTGTTAATGTTGAATCATAACTTCCACGAATGAATGAGTATGTATTGATTGGTTCTGTTGCATTCTTGCGAACTCTTGAATCAGCCATAACCACTAAAGAACGCTTTGAATCATCAATAGAAGTCATTATATCAATATCATAATCATTGCAGGAATAACATTTAATCATTCTGTTCGAAACTGCATAGAAGAAATTAGTGTTACAATAAATGTGAAGACCTCCTGAAGCGGTTTTAACGATAACATCTTTATCCGAAAGTTTTGATAAAATGTCTTTTCTAACTGTTTCTTTAAGTTCATCATTGTATGATTTATTAATCAACATCTATAATCGTTAAATTTGATATTTTATTTACTAATAAAGCCATACCGTTTTCCTTCCTCTTCCTCCATCATGTTTGAGGTAGTTATGTAAATCAATCATGTTTTCACCAATTCTTTCGTTGAGGATTTTAGTTTCTGCCACAACTAATTCCTCAACTAATGAATCAATAACTTTTTCATCAGAAACGATATAGTCACTGTTGTTGTTTGTTGCCACAACTAATTCCTCAGCTAATTCCTCAACTAATGAATCAATAACTTTTTCATCAGAAACGATATAGTCACTGTTGTTGTTTGTTGCCGTCATTTATATAGGAATAAAAAAATAAAAATAATTTTAAAACTAACTTTATTTTTGGGCTGCATCATATTTCCTGAACTGTTGTCAAAATGTCATGTTGTCATCATTTTTCAGAGAAGTTAATTTACCTGGTAGCACATGGTAACATGGTAGCACCTTCAGTTCTTCAAAAATAATTCATAAGTGCCTTCCTCCAGTGATGTTGTCAAAATGTCATGTTGTCATCATTTTTCAGAGAAGTTAATTTACCTGGTAGCACATGGTAACACGGTAGCACCTTCAGTTCTTCAAAAATAATTCATAAGTGCCTTCCTCCAGTGATGTTGTCAAAATGTCATGTTGTCATCATTTTTCAGAGAAGTTAATTTACCTGGTAGCACATGGTAACATGGTAGCACTGAAATCAAATTTTGTTATCAGTTATTTTATCATCATTTTATTAACTTCATCTTTAGTTAATAATTTGAATGGATTCGCTAATGTTCCACCTTGAGTCACAACACTTGCCCCGGCTAATTGTGAAGAACCTGGGATAAGTACTCCACGAAATGATTTCATTGGTAACATTAATTTAGAAATAGTTGGCTTAATTAATTTTGTCATTTATGATAAAAATAAAATTACATAATTTAAATTTTTTTTTTCTCATTTTCTCATCCTGTTTTGGTTTCAGCAACTTTTCAAGTTGTTGTCTTGTCAGTAACTTTAATTTTAACTTTGGATCAAATATTGGGTTTCCATCTTTATCTCTTCCAATAACACCATATGGTAGAATCTTCATTTATACTAAAATAAAAATTTAAATTATACCGTTCACTCTTTTGGAGCTCCTAAAGTTTGTGAAACAAACATTGAGCGTTCATTGAACTCTATACCATGCGTAAACTGTCATGTAAGGTGGCATGTATTCTTTACTTTGTCCCGTTGTTTGTGTATATCCTGAAACGAAATGTGTATGGTTTCCTTCTCCCTGAGTGTCACTCCAGTAACAATTTATAGCAAACTTAACGTCATCTTTAACATCATATCCTTTACCTTTTGTCATTCCTGACCAATCCCAATATCTATGCTTATGCCAACCCGCTTGAGATGTGCTTAAATCTATGTAGTGACTGTGTGCAGGTAAATTTTCACCTGTAATCGTTTTACTTCCCCCTGTTTCCATTGATGAGTTTGCACAATACAAAAACCTGTCGACTATTTGTTCCCATGCACCAACACCAAACATTACTTGAGGACCTCTTGCATCCATAGATGTATAAATAGAACCTACTGGGTTCATTAAATCAAACATATGAGATATTATAGGATTGTCTCTTTTGAACTTAAAATATAGTGCAACTATTTCAGGTTTCTTTTGGTTTGTGTCAGAATATTTTTTATAATATAATCTTATGTTTTCAGGGTAGGTAAAATTTTGACTATAATATTTATTTCTGTCATCTGTATAATAATATACTATTCTCGTTTTTTCTATTGCATTATATCTTTTATATCTATAATAATCTAAATATAATGTTAACTTTTGTTCATCTACATGTGGTGTTCTGACATCATCTCCATAGTCATAATAATATGGTGCTGGAGCTAGGTTAGACAATGTCATATCTGTCATTTCATAAACTCTTAAATATTTCTTTTGTTCGTCTCCATATAAGTTTAAGTAACAGCTGTTGTCTAATGGAACTTTAACTTGTGTGCCATCATTCTTTTTATAGCTTACATACATTTCATTGTTATTTTTCGGAATGAGTTTACACCGTGTACCATTTTTTAAGGACTGTACAAACTGCCATCTAAAATATTTATTTTCTTCATTGACAGAAAAGTCACCAACAATAGTTTCAATATTTTTTGTTGTTCCTATCAAACTTTGGTATATTTCATTCACATATTCCTTATCTGCCTTCTTCATTAACTCACTAGCCACATATTCCTTATCCACTTTCTTCTCTAACTCATCGTTAACATAAGTTTTATCCGCTTTAAGGTCTAAACATCCTGAAACCCATCCTGTATCAGCTTTAGTTTTAAAAATCTTCGATGTCCATTCATGATACCATTCAACCCTTTCTTTAATTTCATTATCTTTTTCATCACATATTCCTTATCTGCTTTTTCATTAACTCACTAGCCACATATTCCTTATCCTTTCTTCATTATGTCATTTAGGAAACCTTTTATGAATTCCTCATTTAAATTAAATCTTCCAATCTTCAAAACTTTGGAAATGCATTTAATGCGTAATATCTTTGTTCTTCTGGTGGAATTGATGTTATATCATCCGTTATACCTTTAATTTTAGAATTCATAAATAAAATTTCTTTTATATTTGATATCACTGCACCACCTTTGCAAACGAATTCGAAACGCTCATTTTTCAATACTATCTCCAAATCTCCATATTTCAACATTTGTGTTTGTTCTGCCGTCTTTGAATTATATGCATATATGGCGTATGTAATGGTTTGAAGGACCTGGGTGCTTTGTGTCTTAAGTTGCTGTGGTTGCTGTTGTTTAATCATTTATTATGATTTAAAAATAAATATTTAATCCATTATCTCATCAGCTATTTTTTCTATTTGAAATTGCCATAATATTTCATTCATAAATTCTAAATCACAATCAAATAGGTCAGTTATTCTAAATTTAATATTTGATAAATCTTTTGAATGAAGAATAAATGAATTCCCGGATAATTGAAACGGATATGATAAAGAAAATGTGTTTAAGTTGATGGATAAAATGTTTTGTATTGATGGGTAAGAGTTAGGGTCTAATGTTTGATGTGAAAATCTCATTGGGGTATTAACTTTATCACATTTGATTAAAATGAAATTGGAACCAGTGTCAGAATACAAAACATCCCCAACATCTTTTTCAAAATTTAATATCCCCAACAATGAACGAAGGTGAGGAGTACAAAATTTAATTTTCAGCGGGAATTTAATAAGGTTATTTATTTCATCAAGTTCAAAAAGTTTATCAGGTTTTGATTTAAAATTTTCTTCATACCATACGATAAATGATTCATTTAAATAACTTAAAATCGTGTTAATATCCCATTTCGCTATCACATTATTTATATACATATCATACGTTTTTTCATGGTCATCTTTAATAAATGATATATAATCTGAAGGGTCTAAAAGAATGGGATTAAATTTACCACTCACAGAAACGAGAGTAACATTATAAATTCCGCTAACTGTTAAATTTAATTCACAACTATTATTCGAAATAATATTGATAATTGACATTTTTATTACGATTAAAAATATGGTAAAGCGTTATTTTCCAGTGATAAATAAAACTAGATAAGATTACCTCAAGAATTCATAAATTCAACGAATAAGAAATTCATTCATGTTATAAATTTTAGTGTTTTCAGAAAATATGAGTCGATGTCATATTCATCATCAGGTTATATTTCACTTCATTCAAATTTAGTTCAATCAAACCCATATAATGACCATTTCATAAGATTTTCAGATGGTATTAAAAATGTAATTGATAGATTAAAATATGAACAG